ATTTTCCTTTTGGAATGTATCTGCCTTTCCTCGCGTGGCCTACGCTCTCGCGCGTGATAGACGATAACTGTCGCGCGTTGAATTGGTTCAATGTTTTTTTCAAACTAAAGCTAGCTAAACCACAAAAATTTGCAGAATTTATCTTGTTTGATTTTGCACATCTACGAAATCCCATTTACGCTTAAGTGATCCGGCCCAAGTCTATTTTCACCTCCGATCCGATGCAATTTTCCCCTCAAATTAACCCATCTTTATCAGTGATAGACCTATTCGGCTAACTCAATGTTGTACCCAATTCAAATCTCCCGGGGTTAAGATTCTTTGTGTATTGTATTTGCATCATAATGTGGCATTCACATTTAAATGTGTGGAAATTCCTGAAACAAAAAGTTTTATTCCCAAAGGGTTTGAATTGGGTACAACATTGAGTTAGCCTAATTAATAGGTCTATTATATAGCAGTATGCCCATCAAAGAATTCGTTTTACATGTTAAAAAGTAGGAAGTTTTTTCAAAAACAATGCAGTGCTATTTTGGACTCCGAATCTCCGTAAACAAAAGAAAAGGGCCTTAAAATAGAATAAGCTTCTAAGAAAGCTAACGAAAATGTTTAGAAAGTGAAACGCAACAAGAAAAATACGTAATCAGGAAAGCCATTAATAGATCAGAGATCCCCGCATGAGCTAAAATTAACGTTACAGACACCGATGTACATAGTGATCATGAAAGCATCGAATCAAATTTTAACTGAATTAATGTTTTTGCTTCAAGAGAAAACAAAACATGTTAAATTTTCCTCACATTTTAATCATAGCCATGCATTAAACATAAAACCTTGTTGTTTAGCTTAACAATATTTCAGGAAATTTGCAACAACAAAAGAACTTGATGAAAGAATGGTGTTTTCCGGGTCCTTTGCCAAACTACTTTTTGTCTGCCACTCATCCGAAAATGAAATATAAATTTTAGACCGGAGTAAAAACAGGAAACCGCGCTCATCAAGGACATATATGGACGCAACAAATTAAAAATTGTTGGTTTTGAAAAATGAAGTGAATTCCTTCTGGGCAAATTTTTGCCCCGGTGAGACTATCACAACACACTTCAGTTTTATATTCTACTTCGTGGGTAATCGCCGAAAAGTTTCGAAGGTACAAATGTACAAATGTACGTTGCAGTATATTGTTTCAAACCGGCTGAAAATTCAACCAAAATGTCTCTTGAGAATTGTTGCTTAACTTTTGTTATAGTAAAAAAATCTTATTGGCTGTTCTTCAAGAAACTCCGCGCATCAGTAGTCAATAAAGTCCACCTCAAAGTTTTTGCGGTATTCTGAAGTAGTTTTCTCAGTGACAGTTGGAACCCGAGAGAACCACGGAAAGTGAACTCTGTGTGTCAGTACTTATCAGTATTTTAAACGTCGGTTTTCTTAAACTACTCAAGAACGGTACCCAGTTTCTTAACTAGGGAGTAGTTAAAAGGAATTATCAAACAGTGAAATAAAGGGGAGAACACCTTGAGTGAAGTTGGACATAGCTGATGTAAGCGAACATATAAAAGGGGCACCCAACGAGAATATAGTTCAAAACCACTTAACATAGCATTGTTAAACGTGTTTTAGTATTTAAACGGTGGATATGGGCATATTTTTATCCCCTATAAATTTTTCATCTGTTCGGATTTCCTAGCTGAAAGTCTAGTGATCCGAAAATTATAGGGATCAAAACTTACCTGTTCGAAAATTTAAGCCAGAAAAAAGGCTCCCGAAAATTTTAGGTGACCTTTTTAAGGTAAAAATCCGTTGAAAAAGGGCAATTTTACCATTTTTTAGATGTTCGAAAATCCTAGGAGAGGCAGGCAAGCAAGAAATTTTACAACAAATGTTCCGAAAATTCTAGATCTCAAATCGTCTTTCGAACAGATATTTTCCGAAAATTGTCGTTGGGTGCCCCTGATATAAGAAACCTTCCGTTGCAAACTTTATGATTAGTTTTTCTGAGAAGAATCCGATACTTTGTGTAAAACTTTCGATTCTGTTAAATTAAAAAGAAAGACCCAATCGACAATTGTATCGAATTAAATCGTTTTTAAATTCACGTGAGCTACTCTCGTTTTCTGTTTGGGATGTGCTGGAGAAAATCATCACTAAGAGACCTCCCTTTAAATTCATTTGGCCAAAGCTCCGGCGTAACGGTTACGAACAGATAACACATACAGACAACATTCTTCATTCAACGATCCCGAGTCTTGTCGTCGTTGGCATGAACTAAGGCTGTGCAATCAGCTCAACAAACAAGCTTACACTGACAAATGGATCGATTAATTCTTTTTTTAAATCCATTAAATTCCCCCATACATTTCTTTCAGTAAGTATTGTGCACGTTCCATTAGTACACTAAGGCCGGTTCAGACGCCGAACTTTTCATGAGCCGAGCCTAATATATTGAACTAAGTACAAGAAGAGTTCCGCGTCTGAATCAATTAGGAACGCCTAATTCAATTTGGAACGAATCATCCGTTTTTCCCACCTAGCCCAGCCGGGAACTTCGACTGTGAAACGACTTTGGAACGGCTTTGATTTACACGCCGAACTTTTCCTGTTCCTAACCTAACGCGTAAATTATAATGACGTACACCGTAATTTTTAGGGAGTTATTATAACTCCAAAAATGGAGTAAAAATTTTAGGTACAGGATAACCCCTTTTTTGGGGTTATTTTAACTCCTAATTTAACTCCGAATTTGGGGTCATTTTTACTCCTGAAAAAGAGTTCTTCTTACTCCCAGTCTGGAGTTAAAATAACTCCGAAATGGGGTTACCGGTACTTTACTTTGGGCTTACTCCTTACTAACCTTACATGGGTTGTTTTTACTCTTTTTGGAGTTAATTTAACTCTGAAAGTGGAGTAAAAATTTTAGGTACAGGACAATTTCTTTTGGGGGGTTATTTTAACTCCTCAATATCTGGGGTCACTTTTACTCCTGAAAAAGAGTTCTTTAAACTCCTTTTTGGAGTTAAAGTAACTCCACGAAAAATAACTCCACTGTAAGGAGTTAAATTAGCCCCACTAGAGGAGTTATTAAAACTCCCTGAAAATTACAGTGTATTTTGCAAGCAGTTCAACCAAAATGACCATTTTTCTCCTTTTGAATTCAGTTCGGCTGGAATTAGGATCGGCGTCTGAATCAATTCAACCGGTCTAAATAGTTTGGGTCGGCCTTAATTCGAATTAGGATCGGCTCATGAAAAGGTAGGCGTCTGAAGCATCCCGCCGTTAAGGTACCCGCGAGACTCCACCCCTGGTTGGACCCCGTGAGGCCCTGCATGTTCAGCCGGATCCGTCTGCTTGGAAACTTACATGTTTGCGCAAAACTTTAAGAAAAACCCCTTACAGTTGATTCGCCATTTGCGCACTCAATCAATATCATAGCCAATGCAGCTATTCCCCACGGTTTTTGGAAACAATCTAAATACCCGTTTTGAAAGTGCGGGTCAAGGTAGCTTTGGCTCCTGGCGTCGTAATGTGCTAACTTTTCAGGGATCAGTCTAAAAGAATAAAGGACATACCGTTTTAAATAAAAAATACATCGTCATTTTTAAAACAAGTTTCTCTTTTTTATTCTTTAGGTAATTTGTGGGGTACTACGTCATGCCCTGGAATCAGCGGATGGCGTGAAATAAAATCGGCGCAACTTCCCTGCTCCAGACAAGCAAAAATTCATTCGGCAGCTAACATTGAAATTTCTCTCTAGGACTAGTTTTAAGGTTTTTCAGTTTATCATAATCAGCCAGATAGTCATCATCGTCATCCATCACGGACATCACGACCACGAAGGCTGCCTTGAGTTCTTAGTACTCCTTTGTAGAGGCAACGACAGTCATGCTGGGTGGTAAAGGATTTTCTCCATTTGTTTTTTATTTCAATGGTAAAATCCGTGTGAAAGAAGCGAGCGGAGAAGCAGAAAAGCCTTGGATCCGCGTAGTTTTCTTTTCAAATATTTTAAAAACCGAACTCCAGCTTTGGCGCCTGAAGACGAGTCAGCCTCAGCCACAAAAATGTCCCAAGAAGCCTTCCGAGAAAACAGTCCACAAGAGAATTTTGTTTGAAGTTGGAGAGGCCTATATGGCTACCGAGAATACGATATCTTTCAGCTGCAGCAACTAATTCAGTTTTGAAAAATATATTTTTAACAAAATTTGAACACAGGAAACAACAGAAGGAACAAGAGCAGCGCCGAGTAAAACTCGGCCGGAACTTCTCCCACTCTCTCCTGCGCACCCCTTGTTTAGTTTTTCTTCTTATTCCTCTTTATTTTTGTAGATACTCGTACCAAACGTCAGTGTAACGCATAAATAAACTTTATGATAGGCTGGGCCCTGAGTTTTTTTGACTATGCTGCGCCAGTTTTCCATCACGCGCTACCAGCCTACCTTTCGCAAGAATTAGAACGCGTTCAGAAAAGAGCAATGCGAATCATATGTCCTGGTATAGAATATCAGCAAGCTTTAGCGCTTAAGAGTTTACCAACGGTTGCGGAGCATCACCACAACATTTGCACGCGCACGTTTGAAAGCATAATGAGCGACCCGAACCACAAGCTAAGAAAGTTTTTGCCGCCTCCATATAAGAGCAACTATAATCTAAGGCACGCGCGCACTTTCACTTTGCCTCGTTGCAAGACAAATAGATTTAAGAACAGTTTTTTTATGGCCTCAGGCAGAATTGTAAATAATTTTTAGGTTTCTTATTATACGTTTTTAGTTTTAGCTATTACAATTATTGCCCATTTTTACAATTGTTAGTATAAATTATTATCATTATGTAAATACGCAATTCAGCTTATGCTGCAATGTATTTAATAAAGTACCTATCTATCTATGATAGGCTGGGCCCTGAATTTTCCTGGTTCATGGAAGTGAAGATGAAGAAACGAGGTCAGTGTGGGGACTTGGTTCTAGTCACGAAACAAGGCTTGGTCACATAGTCAACTAAGTCTAAAAATTGGTTGTAAAGTATGGCGACGTGGCATTGATTTTGAGACAATTTTGACGGGAAATTCACTCGCAATCTGGCTTCTGAACTATAAATGTGGTCAATTTATTGAAAGGGGAGAACCATGGGATTGTGTAAATGTCCTAAGAAGAAGGTCACGACACAGTTTTGCTTCGAACATCGCGTTAACGTCTGCGAACATTGTCTGGTTTCAAATCACCCTAAAGTAAGCTATCTAAGCTTTGTGTTTTGAATGTTGTGCGATGTTTATTTTACAGGTCTTTTATCCACCATCAGTCGTAACAATTGCAGTTGGAATGATATGCTATGTAATGGATTTTATGCTCGTCATGATGCATTTTAATGTTACAATCATGATATCATGATACAATCCGTGTATGATGAATGATAAACATGCAAAGACCGGGAAGAAGACTGCGGACTACAGACCCGGTGGGGGGTACTTTAGGAATTTCTGGGTGGGGATGTGCTGTTGGGACCCTGAAACCCTTAACCTATACCAAAGCTAGTTCAGCTGAATTTTGCTACCCTATTCTAGAGTAAACTCCCGAAATCCCCCCTATCTATAGAGTAGCTGTTTCCCTAGTCTAGGTAAAATCCTCAACCAACTGATCAGTTTCCTGAAAAATGATACCCTATCCTAGAGTAAGCTGCTTGAAAACCATACCCCTCACAGCAGCACATACCTATATGACCCATATACGGCGGGTCCCCCCCCCAGGACTGCAGTCTGCAGACCAGGTGTAAAATGCAGTCTGAGTGTAAAATGAAGACTGCAGACTGAGAGTAAAATGCAGGCTGGGTGCAAAATGCAGAATAAGGACTGCAGACTAGGGGTAAAATACAGACCAAACATAAACTGTAGTCGCAATGGGTTTAAGGGCAAAATAAATCCTTCAAATACATGTAAACGATCACTTACTTGCTTGTTACGTTCTTTCACAAATCCATTCCTTTGTTCTCTGGAAGGTCATCGATGACCTGAAAACATAATTGCAGTCTTCAACCTTTTTTCTGTCCTAGATACCTCACGCTTCAACTTTAGAAATGAAGTTTTCAATACATGTGACCATGAATAATTGGTACAATACTAGGGTATTTATGCTTAAATAGTTGCTGACCCAAAATACCGAACAGAAGGAATAATGGTGATAAAAAAGGGAGTAAATGATTCCAACAACAAAGAAAGATGTTCTGCAGTAAATTTGGATGATCTTCTATGAAAGTATTGCAAATCAAGGTACGCAGACTTCAGCTGGCGGGACATTCATTGAAACTTCTGGTGAATGTGCAATGTACTGCGACTAGGAAGTGAGGTGTGTAAATGATACCAGGTAGCCATTTGGAGAAGAAGCAGCACAAAATAATGTTTAAAAAGTCTGTAGTCCACAGTCTGCATACACTGACCATCTTAATTTATGAGCTATCTACAGTTTTGATTCAATCTCCGTGCAAGCAGAGTCTACTTTTTTCTTCTTTTTGATTGTCTTCTTTTTAATTGGTCTGAACTTCTGAACTAGTCAATCCTGTTTCTTTTGCCAGACTGTCTTTTTGTGTGCTAACGTCTGTTTAAACACATGCATTTCATAAAGTACAGTCAACTCCCGGTAACTCAAACCCTCTATGACTCGAACCTCCCATTAACTCAAAGTAATTTTCAATTCCCCTTAGATCATTTTCCATACAATTTTACCCTTGATAACTCGAACTCCCGATAACTCGAACTTTCTTCTATTTCCCTTGAAGGTTTGAATTATCGGAAGTTGACTCATCTATCAAGAGGAAATGCTTGTCTTGTGCAAGAAAAGAGACTAGATTAGTAACTTACTCGTGGGCAATATTGTAGCTGGATAAAGGCACATGTACATGTAGATACTGGAGTAAAAATATTAACTTTAGCCTGGTTTGAAGGTGAAATGCAACAAGGGACTCTGAATCGTAAGCATTCAGAGTTACAATACCTAATGTATATTTATTACTTGTGTTTTTCCTTAGTGCATAGTTAAGTCCTATCTACACTGGCTTCAAGACAGTGATTACAATCCTGTATGTACTCTTTGTAATGGCAGTTTAGCAGAAGGAGATGTCGTCAGATTAATTTGTTTTGGTAAGGCCATACATGTTACTTATATGTACATTGAAGTTGATTTTGTCCTAATCCCAGGACGTTTGGAATTTTAGGACCCTTTTGCTTGAAGACTGGTTATAGTGCTCACCCAGGGTTAAAATTTGAACCCAATTTGAATGGTAATCATTTTTAACATTCCACTGCTCAAACAAACATAAATGTCATGAGCAAAAAATAACTTTGATGGAAAATTAATGATCATCAAGTAAAAATCTGATCATTAGATAAAATAATTCTCATCATCAGTACTGTAGGTAATGCACAGAGGACACTGGAAAGAATATGCTTTCTGATACTAGAATTTGAAGGGTTAAAGACAGCCTCTAGATGTTACTTAAGGTTTTCATACCTGCATCTCTGAGGAAAGACTCAATGACATTTCATAACCTTTAGTTATTTGTTTCTAGGTAAGAAAATTATTGTTATGGGACAGTAAAAATAATAGTGTTCCATCATCCCCTGGTATACAATGTACTGTGTTTAAAAGCTGAACACTAGTGCACCAGTATCTAGTTTACGTACATTAGCCTGAATTCTATTTTTTCTTCTTTAATATAGATGTGTTTCACTGGGGATGCCTGAACAGTTATGCTTCAAGTCTTCCCACAAACACAGCCCCAGCTGGATATACTTGCCCCAACTGTAAGGTGAGTTTATAAGTTGAATATCCCTGGGCACTAGAGTTTATTCTTTGGTTTATCATGTAAACATCATGAGTATGAGCATTCACTAACAACAGTGAGTCTCAATGAGCCAGTGATTGAAGAAAATGTTTTAAGACTACCGTCAGGCCGCCCTTTCTCATACTCTTGCCATCAGTTTACAGTCAAACCTCCCTTGAGCAATTGTTAATACTTAACATCTTCAGTGTAGGGTGTATTTTGTATAGGTGATCTCGTATGATCAGAGTTCAACAGTTACATTGGGAGATTTGACCACAGCATTTTAATTCTCTAGATCATTTTGTTTTCATGTTAGTCCAGCGAGTTAATCTCACTGTTTGAAGAAGATAACAAAAAGATATAAACTTAAATAGTTCATATTGCATGTCACTTTTTCCACATATAATTTGATAATTCCTATTGTAATAAGTTTAATATGGTTATATTTTTTATTATCTTTTCTTTATCAGGCAGCAGTATTTCCTCCTGAAAATCAAGTCTCCCCTGTCGCTGATCAGCTGAGGAAAGTGTTGTCTACTGCACCTTGGGCTCGGGTTGGACTTGGGCTTCCTGTGGTCAGTGTCTAATGCAAACATGCTCTATGTGTTCTGAATAGAGTTGCGATGGGTCATACATTTACCTACAGTAGTCCATGCAGTTAGATTGGGAAGTTTAAACACCTTACAATTTATTTCTGAAAACAAGCTCTGGACTCATATTTTTCAAAAGGCCTTTTTGATGGCCTTACCATGTATGTGAGAGCTTACATGCATTGTAGGAGGGAATTTTTGTCAGCAGACATTTAAAGTGCGCACAAGCTTCATAGTGAATGATGGATTCGTTAAAGACATGGTGCAACTTTTAAGTCTGAAGTCAAATTCCTACAATGTGACCATTTAAATGAAACCTCTTTTACAGTCCTTTCACTTGTTACTTTCTCAAGTTCTTCAGCATTAATAATTATTACAAAGTGAAATTTGGACATTTTGTTTTACTCAAGTGATTCCCAAATACAGTTGGTGATCATGTTGTCAAAATACATTGTAAAGAAATAAATAAGGCAAAAGCTATGCGTACATAAAATTAATGGACAAAAGTCTTGGGTCAAATTTGCTTTTGTGAGGCTTTATTTCAAATTACAGATGCATGCCCCCTCCCTCCACCCCACAAACAACATTGGATGCTTATATCCAGAATGTTTTGAGAGTTTTGACATTGTATAGGGTGGGGGGAGGGAGAACTGACAGATATAGTTTGAAAAAGTTGCACTGTTTTATGAGGGCTCCCAGACAACAAGAAATTATGATTACACTGCAGCACTGTCCCAAGGACTTTTGCCAGGATTGTAGCTTAATACTTGCTTGAAGATAATGGTAAATGTCTTGAAGAAAATAAGCTTTGAAACAGATTCATTATTACTGATTCTTTTTTACACTTGATCAGGTGCCGGCTGCTAATACCAACAGTGCAACTGTAACAGAAAGCAGACTAACAAGACATGATGGTGATATTGGTATGTACGGTTAGATGGCACATTGTACTTGATAGCATTTCTGCTGGCAAGTTTCTTGATTTTTTTTTGCATATACATGTTATTGTGGGTGACCAGAGGACCCCCAGGGCTGGACAAACTTCATTTCAAGACAGGGCTTTAAAAAAAATACTGTATTCCAACTCTGCCCTTAGACAAGCAGTAACTGTTGGGCATTTTTGCAATTTTTTTCTGTTTCACAATCAGCAAAACAAGTTCCCATAAAAGTAATAATTTACATGTAATCCCAAGAATAAACTCCACAACGGTAAAATCTTGAAAATTATTATCTAATTAAATTTATTTTGATTTTGTTTTGCTTGCATTATTAGTCAACTCTCTCTTAATGCACAGACACCTCTATAAGACATAGAGCCCCACAAATGTAGAGTTGGTCCCTACCTTTCTTTACTCCCTTTATTTGACTCTTTATAGGACAGACATTAGTCTTACAGCTGCAGGCAACACTTACAGCCAAGGATGTAGATAATAGCCGGAAGCCGGGAAAATTACCCGGCTGTGAACGCGATTTTTCCGGCTGTAAAGCACTACTTATTTCTCCAAAATGTTTTTAAATGTTGTCAGAAGATTGTTATTTACCGTATTTATTCGAATAAGCGCCCAATCTCGAATTAGCGCCCACCTCGAAAAAGCACCCATCCTAAAGGCAGAAAAAGTTAATAAGCGCCCACCCCCTCCTCCTCCCAATCAAACTCAAATAAGCGCTCACCCCCACCCCACCCACTTGAGTGAATAAATTTTAATAAGAGACTTCCCCGAGGACGGAGTTTTCTTCAGAGTATTTTACAGAAACCTTGCTTTGTTACTAGTTTGTGTTTTGTTATTAGCATTTAATGTTTTGTTGCAAAATAAATATACCTCACCTGCTGAAAATGGTGAAAATTTAATAAGCGCCCAGCCTCGAATAAGCGCCCACCTCGAATAAGCGCCCACTCTCAAGGTCCAAAAATTTAATCAGCGCCCAGGGTGGTTAATCGAATAAATACGGTATTTATTTTGTTTGTTTACACATTCATTGCTGTCTTACCTGAACTGAAAGGATTGTAAACACTCCATTTAGTGCGATGATCGCATTATTTGCATCGCATCGTCCATTTTGCAGGCTCAATGGCCAGCGGTATTTGTACTTCATGTGTGCGAAATAATGAATGCCAAATTGCGTATCTCTGACGGTTGAAATATTATTGCTTTATAATGTCGGAAAAAAGAAAGAAAGATGATTCTGAGGCCGTTGGTATCATGAAATTTTTTATTAACAGTCAACACTCCAGTTCATCGTAACTTTATTGCCTGTTACCTGATAAAAGTCTGTCCTGAATGCCCTTGATTTTGCCCCCAAAACCAAGAAAATGCATCTCCCAGAGTATGCATTTTCAAAATTTCCCGTGGGGGCATGCTCCCGTACCCCCCTAGCCTTTGGCACTCTAGAGTGGGCCTTCGGCTCAAATACTCGCCTATCATTGCTAGATTCGCGCCTGTTCAAAACTTTACCTACATCCCCGTACAGCCTGTCCAAAAGGTATCCTTCTTAGAGAGAGTTAACTATATTTAGTCTCAAATAAACCCAACAATTTTGAATGCAATGTAATTCAAGGTACCTTCATAAAATTCAAGGCACCTTCATTAGCTCAGACCTTTTGAGATCCTTGCAGTTTCTCTGAGAGTACAGCCTGTGATTGCATCTTTGGTGCACAGAGTTTGCTAATCTTCTTACAACATTTTTATTTGAATGTTTTTTCTCTATCCAGTTTCTCATGGGGCAGACATCACTGGTGGACACACAAACAATGCCCTTAGTACTGGCTCACACCCAGTCACACTTGGAAGTCAATCATCGCCTTATGCTACACCTGTTAGTACTAAAACAGAGCTTAGAGCAACCAGAGATCACCATGTGGTGGATGTACATCAACAGAATACTGTGGTACCACCCCCACAGCAGGCTCATGCTCGCAATGAAAAACCAAGTAAGCTAAATTAATATCCTTTACACTTAATGCACATTTATACGATGAGGCTGCAGCCAGCTGTTTGTTGTGGTATAAGTTTTAGTAGACATCTTTAGCTTGTATGTTTTGTTTTCCCAAAGTAGGTCATGTGATGTTACTCTAGAGAACTGTTTCATTCAAATTTAGTGCTTAATTCTGTAAGCATAAATTATGAAAAGACAGAGCGGTAACTTAATTGGAAAAAAAGCATACAAGCTATCTACACTGTACATATGTATAGTGGACCATGTGCAGCTTGCACTATGTCTGAGTGGGTTACGTTATGCTACTCTTTGTCTTCCTTATGTTTATAATCAAACTTACATGTAGATTGTGGTCGATATTTGTAACTCTGTTCAAAACAAGTACTTGCTCAATGGCAGCAATTCTCTCACCTGTCCTCCTGTGAATAGTATGATTATTACACTTGGTCTCCCAGCATAACAGGCATTGTCTTGTAGCTCAGTGTGGTGATGGGATTTTTTTTTCCTTTCCTTTTTTTTGTGTTCGGCTGGGTCTTCCACTTTTCTTCTTGACTCTTAATTTGTCGTGCCAGTTTATATATATGTATGGACCCCACATGTGATCAGTAATAATACTCCACTGACCCCCACCCCCTCCCCTAAGTTGATCCATGACAACCAAATTTCTGTTCTTGTAGGCACTGTTTCAAGAAAAATATTCAACACTCGGGACAGCACAGTAGACAGCATTCCTTATGATCATGACGAGAATAAGTATCAAAGACGAGGAGCCATAGACTGGTTTACAAGGTGGTTCTGGTGAGTTTTAAATCCATCATGATTACAAGTTATTGCAGCCAACCATTTAATGTCAGCACGATCTAGTGTTCTTACACGTTCGTATTTTGAGCGAGTTTTTTAGCTCCTCGACGTAACGTGTCAAAATAAATGATTGATTGATTGATGGAAGTAGTTTGCCTTCAAGTGTCCTCTTTAAAAACACTAGAGAAGGTACAAGCTTTGAATGCACTGATTTTTGGGATCATGTGTGTGTAGTGATGATCTGTCGTTGGTATTCAAGAAAACCATTAACTAGTCATAAGTAACGCTTCGGTCCACCTAAACGATCCCAGAAAATCGGTGGACCAAAATCATGTACCCATTACCCTAAAAGTTTCTGGATTGGGGAATACATCTTACAGGCACTTATATTTCGTTCCTATGATCTAAGTTTCTTCAAAGTATGTAAACTTATGCTGGTTATCTGTGCACAGGCTCTTTGAATAAAATTGTAAGATATTTTATAGTCGGGCCTACAATTGTAGATGAAAAGTAGATACCTTGCAATGCTTTTCCTTGTAGATTTTTGTTGTATAGTTAAAACTATTTCAATCATAATGTAATACTGGCCAAAGGGAACAGGTCGCGAAAAGTGCTGAAAAAAATAGTTTTGTGCAAACGTTCTGCTGAAGAGATGTCATTTGAATGGTAACACCACTGGATTTCGTTAACAGATATTAAATGAGTTTGGGTGAGAAATAATCTTGCCATTGATTCGTCTAGTAGTGACAAGGTTCATCGGAGTCGTTTGTTTTAAGAGCAGGAATTTGTCATGTTCATTTGATTCTAATTAAATCATTTTACTTCTTTATTTTTCTATTTTCAGGTCTCGGAGAACTCGAAAGCCGGGTCCGGAGGATCCAAATGCGTCATTAAAGCGTACCACCATTATATTAATCATCCTTATCCTCGGTTTCACCACTCTTGTGGTACTGTTCACACGAGTTGGGCGCGGAATAGCTGATAAAGACCCATTTCTCGACCCTATGGCGAATCCCAACATAAGAGTCGGAGACGCCAATATTAAAAGCGCATAAAGCTCTTGTATTTTACAATGAAATTTCCAGGCCCCAGTTATTTTTAAGCTGGATAGCGCTATCCACCGGATAAATCACTATTCAGTGGATATGTGTATTAGGGAGCAAAAGTATTATTCACTGGAGAGAGATTTATCTGATGGATAGCGTTCTTCACCTTTTGAGCAACTGGAGCTATGCAGATACACATGAAAAGTTCAAGTATAAAATAAAGAGCACGCATCTTTGACTTTGTGGTGAGCCAGTAGACGGTGGCATATTTTTGTCGGTTTACTGAGGATTGCGTGTTAGAATTTTATCTGGTGAAAGAGTAGCGAGACTGGAATTGCGCGTAATCTTTTCTGTCTCAAATCCGGCCAATAATGGAAAAAATGAAAGTACTTTATAAATAGGTTTAATTTGAATGGTCGGCACACTCTGGATTTTTATGTACAGACTTAAAAGTTAAAACTACGTTATTTTCCCCCTGTGCTACTATTGAAATATAGATGAGTCATGTATTTGTCGTATTTACCGTAGAGTAGACTTTTAATGGTACAGGAATTAGTCGAAGAAGTAAATAAATGCTGTTATTATACATTGTACTCATTATCTGTCGTCTCATTGGCTAGGAGCCTACAGTTAATTTTGAAAATCAGCGCCACCTACAGATTGGTCAGTTATCTGTAGTTTACGTGCGCAATACATTATTTCCAAGAACAATGTCAAACTGTGTGTTATCGGTGATGTGTTGTACAGTTGTTATTTTCTTCGAAACAATGTGTAATAAAACATTTTAGATTCGGTTTTTGTGATATCCAGAATAATCAAGGGTTCGCGTTAAGTGTTATCAGTTGAGTCGAAGGGCGAGGCTGAAAGCACTTTCCTCGGCCTGGATTACTCCGGATATAGCGAAAAAATAGCACCAGTTCTGTAGGCTACCTCGGCAGAAGCGAGGTCCCATTACCCCCTGCGCCCCTTTGTTCCTATCCCCAGTCCTCTAGTAGGACAGAGAGGCACCCTCCCTCTGAAAAACACCCTCCTCGAAAGAGTACTTCTGCCATAATCACCCCTCTTAAAAATAATAATAATAAATTTTTCTTCTCTCCGTCGAAATTGTAAATACCGCAGATGCTTTCAAAAATAACCCCATCACTCATATGTATGAATCAAGGCAACTCACTCTAGTTTTCAGTTGATGAACATAAAAACGTTTTATTAATCTCTAACTATATTTCTACTCACTGAACTCAAAACGATAAAATACGCAAGCTAACTGACACCTGTCTCTATTCTTGTCGCAATACGACCTGTGCATTACACAGTTAAGCGCAACTCAGTCCTAGGATTGTGGGTAATCTTTCACCGGCATTCTTTGCCATTATTTTTCTTGAATTGCTCCCATCCTCCATCAATCACTTGACTCGTTGTGAAACGAGTCTTACATTTGCTTTCTCCTGTCTCCGTTTTAAGAAATGATTATCCTTAGAATTACTTTCCCTGAAAAAGAGAATAAAACAATACAGAGGAAAACTGTACATGTAGCTTAGAGGGCCTCCAAAGTGGTGAACTCTGTTTGAGAGGCGGACACTAGTGTGATTGGTTGAGCCGCAATAAGTAACTTATTTTCGTGTATTAGAAAGAAACAACCATGATGCAGGTTGAGAAGCTCTCCCTTCTTGTGATTGGTCACGTATTGACAGCTGACGTTACCTTGATCTGGATTAGTTAGGATATTGGTGGACAGAATGCAAAAACACCGGCTCTTATAGCAGGCGCCACCCCTTCCTTTTCCCTTTTGCGCTTTTGTCCCCCTCCCCTTTTTTGCGCCGCAGGCTATTAACAAATTTGGGATAATAACGGGCGATTCAATGTTGGGAGTTGTTGCTTCTGCTTGCGCGTACCTAAACGTTTGACCGGTTTCAAACTTTGCGCAACAACTCCTTATAACACGCAGTAACATGCAACGACATGCAACTGGGTGTGAAAACGAACGTAACATAAGTCCAACAATGTTGGGAGTTATTGGCCAACAATGTTGCGTTCGTTTGCATGGGGCTTAACATGACATGAAAGTTACTTGTGCCTAATGTACGTGACCATACTAGTATTTAAGCTAACTAATGCATTTGCTCTCAGTAGTTGGCTTACGCAGATGGTATTACGGTCCTACCTGCTATCGTTTGCGTCATCTTCTATTCACTTTACGTTGCTGTCGCCATTTCTTCTGGCCGGAATTCAATGAAAACTAATTCGAGAATTATTCTTGGAATAAATAAGCCCAAATTTAAAGCTGAAAAAAAAAAGACTTTTTCAGATAGAGAAACAAGAGGAAACAATGAAATTGGAGTGTAATACTGCGTAGTAGTCTGCTGTCCATTTCATGGGTTAAGTAAAATCTTTAATTCTATGCATCTCATACGTTAAGGTGCTGTCAAACATCAACTTCACATATGCCATAATATGTGACGAACGAACCCGATGCTAATGATTAAAGATTAATCACTAGAGTCTCGCTCACTAGCTAGCCGGCTTTAGGGTATACGGTAAAAGGGGAGACAAAAACAGTGCAACATTGCTGCCAATAAAACTAACGAGTTGAAAAGAGATGTTGCGCGTTTTACTAGCCACATTTAAACCTGTCTTGCAACAAATCAGGTTGTTACAGGTTGCGAAAATTTGTTGCAGCAGGTAGAGAGTAGCTCTACTCAGTTTTGCAACAAAATCTGAACATGCCGCGCGTTTTACCTTGTTTTGCAGCAAGTGACGTAAGTCTGGCGTGACTCCCGCTTAATTTTATCCAATCAAATGTCAGTATTCACGCAACCTGCAACAATCTGATTTGCTGCAAAACAGGTCGGTGGCTAGTAAAACGCGCAACATTGCAAAACAATTTTCCGGTTCGTGTTGCCCGTTCTATCGTCACTGTATCGTAGCTTTAGGTTCGTCTCATGTGATGTTCAACATATATGTGGCACTGGCTTAGGTCATCTCTAGTATAAATTCGGCCACTGTTCGCTTCTGTTAATACCACACTGAAGGCAATGAACTGAACTCACCGACTGAGACTTTTCCTATTTTAGTTCCAATTTCCTTTTCTGCTAGATTATTGTATATGAAGCCAAGGAGAGCCAATGCAAAAGATGCACAGTGCAGTAACTTGAGGCATAAAAAGAAGAAATATGTCAGAAATATGTCAGCTTGAAATTCCATTCATGTCCCTGGCAATATACAAAACGAACTTCTATTAAGTGATTTTTTTGTTTTTGATGATGTATGTCAGAAATGTCATTTCTTTTTGTCTCTTTTATATATGGATTGCTTATTCAATTGGGTGGGTTGACTTACACATCAGCGAGCCGCATGAGCGTGTTTGGAAAAGATCCTGAAACTTCCCGAAAGTTTGTCATTTGCGATCTCCTATACTTACCAGGATAGAAAATGTAAATTCGTGAGTCGAGTTCTCTGGCATCTCCACGTTAATAATTGAAATAAAGTCGTTGGTTAAAGCTCCAAAAAGAAACGAAGCAATGGCTAGTGATAACGAAGTATAGAGTTCTTTTCGGTGAAGTTTAATTCCTCGGAAGTTAAACTGGAAAACAAAAATGTGATCCTGCTATTAGTAACTGAAAATGAAAGTTTGTTAGGTAACTTTCCCTACTTACCATCAGGGCATATCTCTGCCTCCAACATTTAAAAAAAGTCGTGGAATTATTTATAGATTTACATTCCAGTGAGATCAAATATACTAAACAAAAAGAACCTTTATATTTTAGCGCGCAATACCCAATGACTCATGTGACGTCAAATGAACGAGTCATCAATGTTGTTCGTCACTTCACGCGCATTGGATTAAAACGTTCGAAATTTGTTTTAACGTCGGACAACTAAATAAAATAGAGTTTCGTTTCCTTTCCATTTTTATTTAGCAAAGTAGCCTTTTTCTTTTTTACGCAATTCAATATAATTAGACATTAATGTAAAATGTTGTTAAGACGAAAAACGACCTATGATCCTTAATTAATTCAGTGAATTACATGGTCGCATCTCATGTTAAACCTGTCTCTTTTATTTTATGGTGGAAAACTAATGGTTATGATAGCAGCAGTTGCAAATTTTCCTGAAATTTGTCCCCTCAAAAAAAAGGAACATACATTTGCGTAAAAGGCTATTTCGAGAAAGTGCACGCGACAAATAGTTGGTGGTTTTGAGTTCACTGTTCTTCTAAGAAATTTGAAAGAATTGCACGAGAGGCCATGGACGTATGTTCGTGAGTGCTATTAATATCTTAAAAGGATCCTAAAAGAAGGCAACAAAAGTAGGTTACACAGCTACAATGTCAGAACATATCCCATAGATCTATCCCATATTACCTTTCGGAATTGTCGCGTGCACTTATTTTCGACAACCTTTCTCGAGATGTATAACCATGGATAATAGAAAGTCTTTCTATTATCCATGGTATAACTGAAACGAAGAGAACGTTTCTTTTCGGGCCTTTGCGTGCCGTTGGGAAGAGAAAACAACAACGAACGCCGCACCTCTCCGAGCCTTCTCTTTGTAAGCACGCGAGGTGTTGACCAGCGGTAGCCTGATGAATAGCGATACTATTTCATTTAGTTGTAACGAAAATAAAATGGCCGCGATCACAGCGTTTTGGAACCGCAGAGGAGTTGTAGGCTCTCAGCCGACAGATTCGCAGCTGAACTCTTCCAGAGAAAGCGCCGATACAGGTAAAGTACTCACTTCATGCTATGGACGTCATATATTATGCATTCGATTTCGGTTATCAGAAATATGTTTGAATACACAAGCTTACATTTTGGGTCCTTTTCATAACATTTAGTGAAATTGTGGCTCATAACACTTTCCTCAACGTTGATTATTCCGTATATCAAAGAAAGCGAATCTATTGATTGTTTAATTATACACTGTTTTAAAGAAAATATCGACAAACACTTCTTCAAACGGAACGCAGTTTGGCCTTGGCTATTGGACATCATGTATTGCGCGCACAACTACCCCCACAGATTAGTCAGCTATCTGCTGGCAGATAACTAGCTAATATATATTTGTAGGTCGTGCTGATTTCTAAAATCAACTGTAGGCATTTGGCCAATTAGAAAAGAGATATTGAACACTATGTATGATAATTGCTGCTTAATTTTTGTTTACAAGAATGAATTTAGGTAAAATTTTTTTGGCCTTCCAACTCTTGGTTAAAATGCAGAAAACCTTGCCCACTAAATATCAGATGAGAAAAACCTGCTCTCACAGTTGTCGAGTTGTCTGATTTGCATAGTAAATTCCGACATTAACTGCAGGAGTTTGGGATCCCGAGTGCACTTGTATACCTTGTTCTATAAGCACGCCAGTTACTTGAAATCGGTTGGAGGAGTGCGGGACTGTGGGAGCACTAGTATACCTCGTTCTATAAGCACACTAGTTACTTGGCATCGGTTGGAGGAGTGCGGGACTGTGGGAACACTAGTGTACCTTGTTCTATAAGTGCACTAGTTACTTGACATCGACTGCGGGAATGTGGGACTGCTGTAGCGCTAGTTTTATGCCAACTTAATATTCATTTGTAGCAACTGCAGGAGCACTCATTAAACTCTCATACATTCAAGTATTTGGCATAATACAACGCAACTGTAGGACTGCAGGAGCAGTTTTTCAAGTATGTGCAAGACATTCAGTGGCATTCTGCATAAATTTACACAAAACTATTTTATATGGTTCTGATTTGGATGTAATCTTTCATTCCTTATCGCAGTAAAAAAAATGGAAAATTTTTGAAGCCATGAAATAAATATTTGTCGTAGTGGGTTTCGAATTTTATACAAGTTAGGCACATGTATCATATGTGTGGGAGGCAGCGATTGATTGTGTGGTCAGAGTGCAAGAAATGCAACTCAGCTGTCTAAGGTTCAAGTCCCAATAGAGATGCCTCCCATCACTCCCTAGCCAAGCCTAGCCTCCCTATCCGAGGTAAAGACACGCAAGAGCCAAAGGCCACATTGGCCAGAGCTTATCCCAGTTTCCTTGGCATGAAGCATGCCTAGGAGTCTTGCTACTCCCCCTTAGACAGGATGCTAGGCCATAGCAGGGTTCCATCCCCTCCCCCAGCAGTATGTTCCCAGTAAGTGGGCAAAGTTTCTTGTCCAAGAAAACAACGCAATGGGCAAGGCTTGAATCCTGGACTTCCCGATCCAGAGTTTGAGTTGTAAACCGCTTAGCCACACATGCCCCCACTGATGATGATAATAGTCTGGTTTGTTTTTAAAGTGAAGAAAGGCTAATGATTCATGAGCTTTTTTAGAGTTTAGAAAATACAGCTAAAGCCCTTGATTATTTATGATTTGCCATTATCTTTGCAGAAATCATTATTAATACCATAAGCAGGCTTGGAATTGTTCATCGTGAACTAAAATTACCTCAACTGTGGTCAGAAGCAGCTATTATCAAGGCATTAATCTATAAACATGGAAACACACACAAGAAACAAAAGTACTTCCAAGGTCTAAAAAGGGTAAGATAATATCAACGGCGTCATTGAAGAAGTTACTTGCTACTGAAAGCAACATGTTCACACTGGATGCATTACCCACATTGTACCCCAGAAAGAAATTTCACATGGTTGAAAGTTGTAAAATCGTTGCTTGCTTTTGAATAAGAAGCCGAGGATGGCCTCCTTTACAGACTGGGCTTGTCACACAATCCTACCCTTGGTTTTCAGGAGAGGGTTGTGGTACAGGATACAATATTGAAGTGACTTTTTTTCCAGGTTATCAAGTGCTTAAACAGACTTGAAGAAATGGCAATTTATGACAAGGTGGCTGATCTGAAAAACACATTTCCCAGGTTGGTGGTACAGTATATGAAGAAATATTACAAATTTTGTAATATTTCTTTCTGTAGGAAACAAAATACAGTCTATATATTTAAGTTGAACCACTGTGTTCAAATGCTTATTGTTGCTAAAGCTGTTTTAAATTTCAATCCATGTTCCTGTTTCTCTAATTTTAAATCATCAGTCCTTAGTAAAACAGACATTTTATAAGCATCAAAGACTTAACCTGAATTTGCTTTGTTAGTGCTCAAATCTGAAGTCACATTTTACAGTAGCCTTGGGTTACAATTAATATTAACCCTGCTTTGAACAACCCAGCCTTGCAGGTTGAAGAGTCACAAGTTGTCCTTTTATTCTGTTACAGTGCAGCGCAAAAGTATAAACTTAAGTGTCCAATGCATGGACAAAATGCTTGCTTGTGACTATACATTCAATCAACTCTTGAAATCATGGCATGGTGGGTACAAAGTGTGTGCTAATAGTCAACTATTGTTGTTTGCAGGTTATCAAAGCGTCGCACTCTTGCCCCTGAGACCATATCAAACTCTCCTACATTTGGAATGATCATCAGTACTCTTGGCTGCCTCATTGGAGCTGCCCAACTTTTGTTACAGGTCTTTGTTACATTATACTGTAGGACCAGATTTCCATTTCTACTGTATGTGAAAATTGGAAGTGTTTTAAACAAGAGAAATGAATGAAATAATGAATGTATGAATATCATATATATATTCTGAACCTTTTTTATTTCTTGTGAATAGACTAGTTGCATGTTGCATTCATTTTTCTATTTACAAAATCAAAGTTCCTCCATTTTCCTTGCTTTGCAAATGACTCAGACCCAACATTTTAACTTTAGATCATGTTCATTAAGCAAACATTGGAGATGATATACATAATGAGAAATGTTAAAGGCAAAGTTCAAGCAATTTTAGATATAAAAAATACATGTTCCTCAAGTTTTGACCTTACACTACAGTACTGCTCAAAAGTAAGTTGACAGTCATTCATGTCTTGAGAATTGAGTCTTGAGTTTTAAACTTTCAAGTCGAGAAATAGTAAGTGTACACTTTTATCCTTATTCTTATCCTTGTAGCTTTTATCCTTTTATATCTTTGTGATACATGTAGGTGAAGTCAACCTGTCAGGAAACATTTCAGTATCCTTTCTCTACTAGCTTCTACTCCATGGTTATCATACTGATTTGTCTTTTCAATGGTGGTGATCTAATGAGGGTGTGAATACCAGAAAGCACTCCCTCCGGAGGGAACCAAGAACAAAAGCCTAAGAGGAATTAACAATTATTATTAACAATAATTATTTTTTTTGGGCAAGGTTGAGTAAAATATTGTGATTTTTAAGTGGTGAAGAGATTACTTATTTGCAAAAGCTGAAGGCTGAGGCAAGAAATTGATCCACAAGACACTTACAAATTACAATATTTATATTTTTTACCTTTGAATATTTTACCGTGTTTGTTTTTTAATGAATATTTTCGGAAAGGAAAGTGATCTGCCCTGGCTTTTTATGCAAGAGGCATCGCAAGAGGGAGAAAAGCATACTTTCATTAATATGCATGAGCAGAATGTTATTGACAGCCAAAAACAGTTGAACGACATTGCGTATGAGCACACCATTATTTCTAGGCAGTTATTTGCAGGCCTCATGGTGGACTCTCGGCCTATGAAAAGGAAGAAAAATTTGCATCGGATGATAAATAATTTTAGTGTTTTTTTTTTTCAAACATGCTTGCTTATCATCACCCTATCTGATGAAAGATGATAGATTGCTATTTTGCATTATCAATGTGTATAGCATTGCTACTTGACAGACCATAGCCTTTTCAAGGGTGGCACTTAACAGTCAGCTATTTGGACAGCCTTGGAACTGCTACTAAAATTTTTGTTTCAGAACAGTGTCCTATGAGGCAATCCACAAAAATCATCATACAATGCAACCAAGAGTTTCAGAATATGTATGGCTTAAGAACTTGTATTACTTGTAGTTCTTAACTGCCTCTAATCCAAGTGAGTGTTAGGGGAATGTTATGCTCTAAGAATACGCTCAGTCTATACAATGAACATTATTTGTTGTCTTTTCTGAAGGCAGGACAAAGCTTGGGCTACTCAATAGTACCCTATATGTTTGTCATACATAAATGAGTTTGTTTTATCTACCCCATTTATGTTGGTATTATCACACTATGAAACACAGCCTTGACTGTAATAAGATATTCATGTTCACATTTGGCTTTTGGACATTTTGTGACATTCCACTTGACGTGCTGTTCAAGTTTAAGTAGAATATGGTAAGTGTTACAATATGGCGCGTACTGTATCCACAAGACTATTTTGCCTGTACGATTTACTTTACAGTTCCAACAGATCCTTTTCAGGTTGTACTTTTCAGATAGCATTAAGGGATCTGTAATCTCTTGGAAGACTGGGAAAAACACAAATTTCTCTTTTCTTTTTTTTCCTTAGCATTCTCTGTTGGCCTTTCCCCTCATCTTCTTAACTTGTCATGAACACAAGGACAGGGACTCCCCGATTTTGTTTGAGGGAAGGGGTGGCTGTAGATACACCAGTTTTTTGAAATTTATTTTTCCTCTGTAGGGTTCTTGTCAGAAGTTTTTTGCTAGTCATCTCAGAATGCTATGAGATTATATTTCCGTGGCTGAACATTGTGGCAGATCCAGAACAGGTTAGTGATTGACAGATACGTCAGCTGAAGCTATTGCTTGTTCAAAAAAATGCCTGGCACTGTCTCTGATTGTAATAAGGTACAGTGAATCTTTTAATTTTTTCAGGTAGCCAAATCTGAAGCCAAGGATCTTCCCAAAAGTATTGAAACATGGCTTGAAACTCGGAATAGCTATCGCTCTAAAGACAACAGGTTTGTTTCTTTTCAATGACTGTTTTCAAAAGTAAACAGATTCGCCATTTAGAACATGACAGTAATATGTTGATAATGCCATAATGTTGCTGACATTTTCTTTCATAAATTTGTATGTTAGGAACTTTTTCTTTCTGGGCTAACAAAAAAAATTGCTTAATGACATGTCCCTTGAAAACTAGCCTCTGGTGCTGCATGGAGAAGGAATGCATGACAAAGCCATGAGAAGATCTGTGTGAGAGGCTACTTGAAACTATTTCTTTTTGTTTCACTTGAATCTCATTGTTTCCCTAGGGTCCCTACTGTTCCCCTTGAGACAGGCATGGAAAAAAGAAAAAAATCTCAAGTACCCAATAGGATCTGAATTTATGACATCTTAAACACTGGGCGGGTGCTCTATCCACTGAGCTATGGAGAGACTCATAGAGTTAGAGAAAACTGTTTTGTGAGAGGTGAAAATAATGGTAAATTTTAACTGTAGTAGTGAATGAAAAAGTACCCTGCGAGCAGTGGTTTTTCCAGGCTGGATGCTACGCTACGAAGGGAGAGAGTTATAAGCGTCCCGTAGCTCTCCCATGGTGTCCAACCTGGAAAAACCACTGCTCGCAGGGTAATGAAAAAGATGTTTTTCTTTCACTACCAAGCTTGAAATTTACCCTTTTTTACCAATCGACATTTCCCATGTAAGCTGAGACAAAAAAATCTTGGTATACAGCAAGGATGATCTTGCCATTTTCGGTGGTCTGGTCTAGATATGCATCCAAGCCTGTCAGTCATTAGTGCATTACCTTAGCAAAATGTACTTCAGTCAGATGGAGGTTAGCACATAGTGCCCGGCTAAGATGCAATGTTCATTAATAATTCTGCTCTTCTTGCAGCAAGTTTCGCACACCATCTCAAAATATTTTTACATCAGGAACTCTGGACAAACTTTTTGCATCAACTCCGAGACACAATCCTAAAGGTAACATACAAGATTAAAAATAGAATAGTTACTCTCTTTTTTCTCACACTTAGATAATTTTTAAACTCTGTCAACAACAGCATCGTTACAAGAAAGCTTTCTCCTTCACTTATTCTGGTGCTTTTACTTCTTTATCTCAATTGTTAAGCATCTCCTCAGTTAACCTCCCTCGTTTGAAAGAGATGCACCTCCGCCATCCCCACCACTTCTTTGGCTGAAATTTCATGTAAGCCCCAGGGCGAGAAAATATGGTACGTAGAAATTCTCTTATGACCAACAACTAATTATAAATTATCAACTTTTTGTTGATTAGGATCTTTTCCCAGGGAATTTGACGCAGAAACTCCACCAGGAATGTCTTATGATCTTGGAGACAACTCTTTCATTCCTGACGAAATCAGCAGTTCAATGCAGGGTAGAGGGTTTGCCGCGGAAACTGGATCAGGAATGGCTTATAATCTTGGAGAGTCGTTTATTCCGGGCGAAATCAGCAGGTCATTGCAGGTTAGTTTCTATAAGTCAGTACTGAGATTGCCCGCTGTTTGGTTACTAAAGCCCAAAAGGAGCGTAGGCGGTTAAGTCTAACGGAGTACCATTATTAGATGCCTCTTATAATTGTACGTATGTAGAAAAGTATGTAAGAAAGATTAGAGCAAGAACTTTATTCACGTGTCGAAGCAAAATGTTTCCCTGTAATAGCCTGCGTGGCAGGCGCAAAAAGGGGAGGGAGAGGGGGAGGGAGAGGGGGAGGGAGAAAAGCACGAAAGAGGGGAAAGGGAAGGGAGTCCCTTCCCCTCCCTCCCCTAGCTACCCCCTCCCTTTTTCCCTATCCCTACCCCTTTCGACGCCTGCTACGCAGGCTACCCAGTAAAGGCAATTGCTTATTGAAAACATACTACTTGCAACTCTGAAATCCAGTTTACAGGGGCAAGTCCTTCATTAATTGATTGAATTTAATCTCTTGTCCAAACGACTGCTATTCGGTTTTCTTATGTTCCTCCTCCACTACTGACTGTACTGACGGTAGTAAAGTTCAACTGCGTGTTTCAGCTGTACGAGTTCAGTTAATAGGCCTTAGCCTGCGAACAAGCTTTCCATCTAGTAGCCTGCGTAGCTGGCGGTATTGTGTGGATGCGAGATTAAAGTTTGGTCGCCGCTCGTGACGGCTCCGCCGTCAAATCTCACTCGACTATATTACAACGGCTCTGCCGCCAAATCTAACTCGACTACTACGCAATACCGCCAGCTTCGCCATCCATTTGGGGACGTCGCGAGAAGTCATGCTGGAGCGGCACGCGAAACGAGACGCGAGAGCGAGAAGCGAGGAAAGAAATCTCCCGCCACTTGCGGCTCGCTTAGCTCGCCAGAAATGGAGAGCTTACTACGACAGGCTCGTTGCAGGTGGTCAGTAGGGAGCTTTAGCATCGACAATGGCAACGACAGTGAAAACGTCACTTTTAAAATGAATTCGCGTTTATTCCAATTTGCTGAACATGGCAAATGTAGGCGGATTTCCCTGGAGTTGATTTCTTGAGGAGCGCACTCAACTTTAGAGAGGGAAAAAGAAATTCGTCGTCGCTCGTTTACGTCCTCCATAAAACTTACAATTAGGCATTTTCACGTCGTAGTCGTGCAAGGACGGTAAAGAAATGTACAAAAAAGCGTGATGCACGTGAAAAGTTGTTGTTTTGCGTAATAAACCGATCGCTTTTCTGACGTCCTCGTTGCCGTCGCCGTCGTCGTTGCTAAAGCTCCCTAGTCACGTGGTACACAGACGCACTGGGGCGTGTCTTGCTTTCCATCATGGAGGTATTGTACCACATGACTGACCACCTTCAGAGGCCCTATTTTTCCCGCCATTATTGACGAGGAATTCTGACAATTCGCATCTCTGTTATAGGATTCTGATGCCCAGGTTGGAGAACAAAATATCACCTTCAAACGAAAATTAGTTGCTGAAAACACCGAGATAGCTACAAAGCTGCACGAGTTAGCTGGAGATCAGAGTGTCAACCTCGAACGAAAATTAGTTGCTGAAAACACCAAGATAGCTACCAAGCTGCACGAGTTAGCTGGAGATCAGAATGTCAACCTCGAACGAAAATTAGTTGCTGAAAACACCAAGATAGCTACCAAGCTGCACGAGTTAGCTGGAGATCAGGATGTTACCCTGAAACAAAAATTAGTTGCTGAAGACACCGAGATAGCTACAAACGTTCACGAGTTAGCTGGAGAACAGGATGTCGCCCTTAAACGAAAATTAGATGCTGAAATCACGCAGATAGCTACAAAGCTGCACAAGTCTGCTGAAGATCAGACTGTAATCCTCAAACGAAAATTAGTTGCTGAAAACACCAACATAGCCTCAAAGGTGCAAACGTTAGCTGAAGATTGTTTTGCACGAAAGGATAATGTTGTCGATTTAAACAAGGAAATAACAGAATTACCAGCCACAGAAGAAAAGAGCAGAAAAATAACAAAGAAACATGAGACAGACATAAAGCTTGTATTGCCTAGAAGTGAATCGAAGAGATTTACATTGCGTAATAGGATTCACATTTATAACAGCAAACGCTGGAAGGAGTGTAAAGAAAAAGCTCTCCGAAAAAAAGAGAAGCAAAAATTATGTCGAGGAAGACTACAATCAAAGAAGGGTAAACACACCATTACCACACGAGAAGGGAAAGATAAACCTGAGACTAGTGCAAGATTGTCAACTGCCGAAGACTTTGTTGAAAATCAAAAGTCTTCGTTGTTGGGGAATTCAGTCTCTTGTCATGCAAATTCGAAACATCAGAAATCAATGAAGTTTAATTTTTTTATTTAATGAAAATACGATCGATCCGAAATATAGAGGTGGACTCCGCGTAATGAGCTACAATCAAGAATGGTATAAAAAAAGACTGTTGTTGGCCAAATTCGCATTTTTTTTCGCGCGCTTTCAACTCTGCAGTTAACGAAGGAGTTCCTGGAAATGCGGCTTGAAGTTTATGGTAATACCTCTTAGGCCTAGGCCAAACGTCGAACTTTTCATGAGACGATCCAAACTGTCATTTGGGTCGACCAAAATTAAGTTAAGATCGTCTGTTGTGTCAGACGTCGAACTTAGGACCCGTTGAACCAACCAACTGGATCAGATAAGAAGTAAATTTTCTCCCGAATGAGCGAGGCTAAATATACATTATCACACAAATTTTTAATATATAAGTTTAGTTCGTCGCATGTGAAGATAGACGTTTGTCCTGGAGACGATCTTTAGAAATTTTCTCCGTCTGACGCCGATGGATAGAACGTGTTGGGACGATCCAAACTCATTCAGACGAACTTAACTGAGCCAGACGTCGAACTTTTCATGAACTTAACTCGCTAAGTTTGGTTCGTCTGATGAAAAGTTCGACGTTTGGCCTTGGCCTTAGTAGTTTATTATAAACTGTGAAATATTGATGCCAAGGAAACCGTAATAAAAGGGTGGCGCAGTGGTGGGAGCACTCGCCTCCCACCAATGTGGCCCGGGTTCGAATCCTGGCGTTCGAATCCTTGCTCCGAGAGGTTTTTCTCCAGGTACTCCGGTTTTCCCCTCTCCTTAAAAACTAACACCTTCAAATTCCAATTCGATCTGGAACGCACGGACACGTTTCAGCGAGTTCTTATGAACTCCTTAGTGATCCGTGGGTAAACAAATTACAATTACCAAAAAAATAACGCCAAAAACGCCGCCTAGCATCGTGGATTAATCAGAAAAAAAGCGATGATACTTGTAGTAACTTTATCTCGAATTTGCGCCTAAACAACAGCTAAAACTTTTCGTCTAACTTCCTTAATTTTAGTTTTTTAAAGCCCTGTGACAACAGACGCAACATTGTTGGATGTTACATGTTGCGTCCATTTGCACACCCTGTTCCATGTTGTTGCGTGTTGTTTTTGCAACATTGTTGGGCCAAGATGTTCATGTCGTGTCCGGTTGCACGTAAACATTGGCGAAAATCTGACAGCTCAGCTAAATGTGGAGCGACAACAGGTACTCCACACGTTCGAAGTCCCTCCTCACGTGCACCCCTTCTTCCTCCAAGGAACTTTCTCGCAGGCTACCTTCGTTTCTAACTTTGTTTCCTTTAGACGTGAATATATTAGCTGGCCCAGTGACGAATGCAGGCATGAAAGTTCCATAAACAATGTTCAGAAACCCCATCAAAATGTAATGATCGAGTGGGAAATAATATTGCAGGATAAACTCAATATTGAAAAATACACAAAGCATAAGCAAATAGTAAGCTGTAAAGACTGAGAAAAGTTCACAGACTTCCTTCAACGGCAAAGAAGTCTGGGTCTCTAGAGTATACTCTTTCGGCTCAGTCCATTTTATCCTGGTCCCAGAAAGCAAAAACAATAAACTCAGGCCGACAAAATTGAGGATCATGATATAAAGGTTAGTCGCCACTGAAGCATAACTTACTAAGGCTTCAATGAACCTTTGCAGAAGCCAAAGGATTGCAAAGTTTGTAATTGTCATTCCCAATGTTGCTGATACCAACTTTAAAGTAGATGCTGTGCGAATTTTGTGTTTTAATGGGTGTTCGGGCTTGTCTAAACTAACAGCTTCCAACTGTGCGAAGTTACAAACTGCAAGAAATACCCCAGTCTTCTGCAGCTCTTTGAGTAAACAGCAATATTCATAGTTTTGATCGACGTGTTTGTTCCACGCATCCACGGTCACAGCGACAAGAATCGTGACTTGAAAAACAAACTGACATATTACCCAAGGCGTGAGGTATCTGTTTTCTTTCCTAAGGCAGCCTAATAGCATTCGTATATTGAAGAACAATCCCAGTATGTCAAGACCCACTATTGAAAGCAAATAAGGCAGGGGACTCATTTTCTCATTATTCCGTACCAACTGACATCAAGGCTGGTCTGTTATGTAGATAACCTAGTGATATTTGACCAATATCATCCGAACGTGCCGGAACCTTTCCCACAATACTTCGCCGGGCTTTTCGAATCCACTTCTCATCAGTGATGTTAGTAAATTTAGTCTTTGAATCAGTGTGTACACAGGTAGCCCAGGCTCGAAATATGAGCATCGGCGAGCATCGGCATTGTTGCGTAACATTCAAAATATAAGGATTTGTATGGGAAAAAAACCTATCGTTTCTGTAACCTACGAAAATGAAAGGATTTCAATAAACAACAGCTTACCTTACTTAAAATGTGTGTTACATCTCTCCTGTGTGGTCCACGGGCCGATTTATGGTCGTTTTATGGGTCTTTATGTGAACGGTTTTCTCTCTATATAAAGGCTTAAACCTCTATTATATATTTCGAACTTGGGCTACCTGTGGTGTGTATTGATTCATATATGAGCTTTTTCTTTCTTTTTTTTGCTTAAAAACAGTTAACTGCGAATTAACAATCTTACAGCGAATTTTACACATGTCCATAGGTACACTTTTTTACTTGAAAACCGAAAATTCTTTCCTATACTGAAAACATTAATCTCGTCCGGATGGACGGTTTTGAAATCGGTCTTCGCCTGTCTTCGCCTATACGTGAAGGCTCCGCCCAACTGCAGCTGGGGGCCCTTTTTCATGCTTCAGGTATATAAAAAGGTAGGGACTTTCTTAAGTTGAAGAAAAGTAAAAACCCACATATAAGAACCTAGAATTTTCGAGGTCAGGCTGAACAGGTTCTTATATTTTAGTGTAGTTTTTCACAATTCAGGCTGATTAGGTTGTCATAGTGTAATCATTGGCAGAAATATTGTACCACCAATACATATCAAGTTCAAGGTCCAAGAAGAACATCAATACATTTCTACATTTTTTAAATAAGATATTTAGATTTTAAATCGTTTCTATAGCAAGGTAGCTTTATGGAAAACATACTTCTTGTGAAACTCCAAACAAATGTAAATCAAAGGAAACATATACACTATTATCTTTTGTCAAAAGTTTCTCACACAATTAAAATCGAGAATTTTGACCATCAAAACTGGAGTGATTGTTTTGTATAAGGGCCTATTTTTCTTTTCAGGCTGAACAGGTTCGTATATTTTTGGGCATTTAAATGCCAAATTCAGCTTGTAGGCTCTTAAATCACTAGGTTATTATATGTGGTTTTAGCTGGGTTTTTACTATATATACTAGACAAGTATCCGCAAGAGTCGTGGAATTGGTTCGTTAAGAGTAGCATCCCAAGGGCTCTCTTGCCTGTTCTTAAAAACTTTCGCCGCCGTTTATTCCGACCCAACTGACCTCTTCTGGGACTCCGTAAGTGGATGGCATTGGGTCAACAATTTAGCGAATTGCTCACTTCTATCATTAAAATAAAAAAGTGACAAAAGTCAGACAAACACGAAGGTAAATATTTGTTTCAAAGCAGAAAAGGGTTGTTAATCTGCAACTTGTATTTTTCGGGGGGAATAGCACAGATGAATATGAAAAGTGGGGATATAAAACTGAATTGAACAATATGCTACTATCACGACTTGCACATGCGCCGTGTTATGACACACGCCATTAGTTAGTGCCCTGAGGCTTTGAAGGCCCTTTCATAAGCCCGCCTTGCTTCAGTGTGTTGGTCCAAAATAAGTTTATAGAATAACGATCGACTGGGAAAAGATATGAATCTGCCATTTTTCTTGCTTGTAATTGTAGCTCTTGACTGCATAGGATTCATTTCTAATACACGAATGCTCTTCAGGCTTTTAAGCTGCTGCTTCAGGAAAGAAAACAAGTACAGATACCTGGTTCCTTGGATGACATGTCAGTTTGTTTATCAAATAGTTTTTCTAGTGACAGTGACCATGTACGCGTGGACCATTTATATCGACGACAACTACGAGTATTGCTGTACACTAAGACGCCTCAAGGAAACTGTGGAAATTCTTGAACTTTTAAACCTGTTTCACTTGTGATGTTTGCAATTTTGGGGAGCGAAACTGAACAAAAGGTTCGCGGACTGATACTCCTACACTGATAATATCGGCGGCGTTGCCTGGTATGGCAATCATGAACTTCGCAATCCTGTTTTGGCCCCTTCAAGAGTTAAGTCGAGATATTGCGAACCTGGCGATCTTTTCCTTGTTGATCTTCAACGTTCTCGACCTAAAGTTTCTCTATTCTTGTTTCGCACCTAAAGAAAATTGCACTGAGGCGGTGGAAAATACATTAGAAGGGTTGATCTTCTCTCTGGATAAGGCAACGGAAAATATATCGCTGGAGTCACTACTGTCGTGGAGGAATTGTCTTAAAGACAAATCTCTGGCACATTTCTCAGGCATTTTGTCCTTAGTCATCTTTACTGTGTATGTACCGTCGTCCAGAGTAGCCTTTTACTTCGGTAGCACCCTGAAACAGATCTCGCTCTGCACTTTGTTATATATTTTTTGGAACTTTCATTCCCAGTTTCTTTTCTCTGTGTGTATTAATTCAATTTCCAGAAAACTGAAGTCGACTTATGTATAAGGAGAATTTCCACTATAGGCTTTAGAAATAAACGTAAAAATATCAGTTCAAGTAAAGTAAAATTTAAAATTATTCACACTTAAAATGACATTGTTCTTAGAAAATTTTATTCCTGTTGCTTGTCTGTATGTATTGATTCAACTTTCACACAACGGGAGAGGACCGTTGGACAGCTTCTCCACTATAGGCTGAATAAACTAAAAAATATTTCAGGTCGATTGATATTTAAAAACTTCAAAGTAATTATTTTCCACAGAAGAACTTCAAATGAGCTTTAAAAGTTTGTTTCTAATAAGATAATTTTGATATTGATCGCATACCATGTTCACTTTCCTCAAAGCTCATGAAACCGCAAATTGGCCAAAACGTTTGTATAAACATTTTCTGGCTTTCACTGTGACCCAATCAATGACAAAAAATTGAAGCCATTCAATAAATGAAGTCACTGTCTTTCCAAGATTTATGCCTGTGCGTACGACAGATTCGGAGAATGTTTTTTTTACCCTAACCTTCTAATGCGTCTTCGTTTTGATCCTCTTAGTTTCAAGAGCGTCTTCAAATCGATGCTTTTCCGATAAAACGTTCAGTGTGTTAGTGTGTATGCAGAGCACCTAAACACATCGAAATGTACGCGTTTTCAAACTAAACCGCATTGGTGTGGAAGGAGCGTTCGAATTAGCCAATGATAAAAGCGTATGTGAAATGCTCGCGTTCACCGGGTAGTCATGGAGATCCCGGCAGAAGCGCAGCCTAGGAGGGTCCTTGACCGATTTTCTTTTCTTTTTTACTTTTTACTTCAGGTTTTCATTTTGTACTTTTTGTTTTTCACTTTTTAATCTGCCGTTTTGAGTTTATTTTTTCTACTATTTGAGGTTTGTTTAAGTTTTCCTTTTCAAGGTTTTCAAAATGAATTTGTCCTGCTTCCACTCTCTTAGCCTGCCAAAACAGACGTTTCTCCTTGCTCATCGCCGCTGGGGGTTCCCAGGCTACCACTTTCTAATTACATTTTGTTTTGATTTTATTTTTTTGGTTATTCTATTTTTTTTCGTCTTTTAGTTTTCATTTTTAACCTTTTAATATTTGTTTTGAAGTTTTTGCTTTTTATTACTGAATTAAATATACATTCTTGAAAGAATGAAAGATGGTAAATTTTAAACTCGGTGAAACAAATGAGAATATGAAATGACATGCTGATTAATTCATTTTCACATATACATTCTTTATGTTTTTTAGTATTCAATTTTTAATTTATTTTGTAAGCTTTCTCTCTTGTTTCAAAAAATCAAAAAAGAAGAAATCAAAAATAGGTCCACCCTGTAGGCGAACATGTGGCGAGTGTTAAATGGTCAAACAGGGAGAAGAAGTTTAGTACACATAAGGATAGGTCGTGCTCTCCTTGGATGAACCGGTTCTGGTAGATTTGCTTTAGGTTTCACTATAGAAAAAGACTTTTGCTTTGTTTGTAGGTCTTATTTTTTTATCGTTTTATCGTTTCTTACGCATACTGATACAGGACAAGTTTTAAGTAATTCTTTTTAACGTTACATTGCAGACTATAGGAATTAACATCAAAATCGACGTGGCCTATTGTTAATTTTTTTTTTTATAGTTTGACTCGTAAAAGGTTTCTACTTCGTCTGGAGTGAAGTTGTAAGTTCCTGCCAGGAATGTTCGGGCGAAGTTGCTGCTGTAGCTGTACCCACTCGGTGCGCTGTAAGTCCAGCTCAGGTTGCAGTATGAATAGCTATTGGATGACGCGGAGCTGGAAATGAGAATGTCATGTCCTCCTCCAAATGTGGGACCATACGATGACTGAAAACGGATCGAATTGGCGTTTCTTCCTGTTTGAGACAGTTTAACAGGTGCCCATCCTGGCTTGTTCACCAGTGAAAACAGAAAGGCTTTGGGGTCGGCGTGATACTTATTGCTGGAATCTATCAGAAAGAAAAGAAATGGAAAACAGCGGTCACTAGCGGCGCCATCTTGATACTCACTTGTGAAACCATCTCCCATGTACACAGAGTCCCACAGTCACGAAATAAATGTTTGTTAATAGTAGTTTACTTTCCTCATATAAACTTGTTTGAGTTGTAGTTGACAGTTTTTATTTGTCAAAACAAAACAAAGCAACTCTTAACTCTGCAATCACAGTTATCAAAATATAAGAAATAATAAACGCACAGCCGATTGAAATGCCTCACCACCAGTTACATTTATGTACATTTTCTAAGTTGTAGGCGCATTGAGGAGTCAGCTGAATCCGTCACCCTAATAGCTTCGATTTTTGTTGTTTACAAGATCATAGGTTCCTATCGCTTGTGTCTCCGATTACGACTCCTACTCCATTGCTATTGAGAACCCCACTCCTTTTTTCTAGAGCTCTAAGCCTTTTAATCCGTGGTTATTTAAATTATATTTTTCACCCTTCCAAAGCTCGCTTGAATCTAGTAATTTCGCAATGCCCCTAATCCTCTTTCCAACCTGAGATCAGGCCCAATTTTAGCGGTTCTCATACATTCTCTCTAACGGCTACCGCTAAAATTGGGCCTGCTCTGTTTTCGTTTCGCCTTGCCCGCCGGAATGTTATTACAAAGCGAAACGAAAATTGAGCCTGATCTCAGGTTATCCTCTTTCCATCGATTTTAGGTTTTTTAAAGATATTCCTAATCTTTCCATCGTAATACTCCTTTTGATTTGAAAGTTACATCTAAATTTATAACATAACCAAAGTAAATCGCGCGCTCTGATTGGTCAGTTAGCCACTACCATTTGCCCGTGGGTGCACGCCAAGAAACTGAGCTGGCGCGGTAAAATTTAGGTAAATTTAACAAATCTCCTCTCCTGACGGTAAAATACACCGATGAAATGCACAGATGGAAAGTGGAAGTTGGAGAAAATACTAAGCTGTCGTTTTGAAGGAAAAAAGACAAAAGACCAGGCCCGTAACCAGGATTTTTTATGGGGTGCTAACAAGGCCAAAGCGGACACAACTACGGAAATGTATTTTTTATCGTCTGATCCGTTTATTTAGGAAAGTAGCAATACATGAGAAATTGTAACGGCAAAGAACACGGTAGGAACTGAATATTACATTTTTCGAATACAACTGTTTGAATTTAGTTATAAAGGAGTAATTTTACGATGTAAAATGATACATCAAAATACTGCGGAACTAATCCGTCAGAACAGTTCCGAGCTCCAGCCTCCGTGGGTGTAGCGACTAAATCTCAGAGCGTAATAATGGGATCAAGACTGGTGGACATTGCGAAAATGAGTATGATTTACCGTTTATATCTCGCTGTAAAACTGTAGTTAACTGAGATAGATCTGAACCCGTGGTTTCAGCTGGGCTGTCGTCGCAGACTGCACTGTCATTGTCAGCGTCTGATAGCTCTTGACGGGGTACTTTACTGACCCATTGCACAGGAAAAAATAACGTATTCCCATTTTTGGATATTTTAGGGTATTTAAAGAATACCCATATAAATCCCAAATTTGGCAAAGTGAGACAAGTCCCAACCGGGGAATTCCCAACTAAGTTCCCAGATTGGGACTTGTCTCACTCTTCCAAATTTGGGATTTTTGTGGGTATTCTTTAAATACCCTAAAATATCCAAAAATGGGAATCCGTTATTTTTTTCCAGTGTTGTATCGAGACACTGGCAAGATTTAGCTGCAGCCTTCCTTTTTCTATTTTCCTGTTCTCTCCTACCCATCACGTATTACACAAAAAACTAATTTTGCATCGTCAGGCGTTCATGCGCTCGTACAAATGAGGGCTCGAAATTAAAAAAAATGTCTGGTCGCAAATTTGCGACTAGTTACGAAAATTTGGTCGCAACTTTAAAAATGTTAGTCGCGAGATTAATTGAGGCCATTTAATCAAGAAATAAGTAGGCTTTTAAATGATTAACGTTTTAATTTTCATTCTTTCAACAGCTTTCATGTCATTTCGAGACTTAATAGTACAGAACGTTTAGCGTCTCGGACAACACCAGTTCATCTAAACGATCAAGTTGAACCTGCGTTAAGGCACATAAATTAGTGTCTGTTATTTTAGTCAAAGCGATAGATTTCCAAATCATGAACAGATATTACAGCAGGAAACTGCAGTTCTTAAATGCCTCCAATCTCTGCAAAATAGCAATAACATTTGTACTGGGCGGACATCCGACATGGTTATAGGTTACGTTACGTAACTAAATTCCTTTAGTTTTACCTTTTGCAGGTTTTCCACCGATGACAAAACAAGTAACGAATTCTTTTCTATATTAAGCTTTACATCTGAAGTATCAGGGGTGTTACTACAGTGATTATTCAAAGAACCCTAAAGGACTGAATCATTCAATACGACGATACGTGCCATGCGGACATTCCGCCATCTTTGTTTGCTAAACCTCGTTTTCATGTATACGTAGATTCATCTCGAGGAAGATTACTGTATCTTGGTTTTGGCTGCTGACTGATTAAACGTGAGAATTCCTGTTGTTTTCTTGACTATATAACTTTCGCTCGGTCGATTTCTTCGTTTAAAATGTGACCTTTGAAACAATTTAAGTCACTTTCATCCGACATAATTGACTCACTAAAGAAGAGCACATGTGTACTGTGAGGGCCGTAACGCGGGTCATAAACGCGGGGAAAGTCCTCAGCATGCTTGCGGGACTGTCAGCGGCAAATCAAAACGAAATATGAGCCTGCAATGTACATGTTTACAGAACCCGCTGAAAATGGCGTGCTGTTGAAGGAATATCGTTGCGTGAATGCATTCCAGGTAAATTACGGTAAACCTTCAGATTGTAACAAAATTATAAGACGCTACTTCAATGAATCTTTTTATTTCTAAATTTGTTTAAGCAAAAATTCAAGTGCTAGTCCTTTTATTTCGTATCAGTTAAGGCAAAACCTAGTCGCAAATTTGCGACTACTCTCGTTTTTCTAGTCGCAAATAAGAAAACTTAAGTCGCAAATGCGACCGTATCGGTCGCAATTTCGAGCCCTGCTGAAATAGAGAATCCTACCCGACGCGTTAGCGGACGTGTCTGACAAAAATCGTGAGATCGCTCCCTTGTCATTGTCTCGCTCGTCGTAAACTCCCGTGCAAAGCCTGCGCCCCGGGACCTGCGCACGTTAATTTCATTATTCATTTACATAAGCTCGGACATCTGTGCGCTCATTGAAATGCTCTGAATGGCTCGGGCTACTAGAGTGTAGCTGGTTTTATTTTCCCAGTGAATACACCACTGCTTTTTCCATTCTTTGATTTTGGTTGAAATATCAATGCACTGTTATGTTTGAAACTTCAGTTTAATCGACTGCACGCCTTAACTTGGATATTGAGTATCAAAATGCGGACCTTTGGGGCCTGTGGGGAGGTGCGAACGCACCCCGTGCACCCCCCCTGGTTACGGGCCTGAAAGATCAAGCGACAAATTTGCCCTGGATGAATTAATTACTGTTTTCCTAGCGGCTAAATCGGCTGAAGGAAAATCGAGCGAGCGAAGATTTAAGGTACATTTTGTGTGTTTTTTATAGAAGAGAAAGTCTGTTTGAAATGTAAATGTATCAATTACCATTGTGTTATTGACTTTTTGGTCAAGCTGAAGCTAAATTCAAGTAAATATTTTAGGAAACACGCTCAAATTCGAGACAGCTTTGTTGTGAAGTTTTCATCGCATAGTTTAAAACTTTTAGTTGAGTTTCAACGGGCACATTACGCTGGAATAAGCGAATTTCATTTGAGTACAGAAACATTTGGGTTTTCAAATAAATTTTTCAAAAAATAACTTTTGTGTGTATTATTTTGTTCCTCAGTGTTCATTCGTAACAGTCGTTCAGAGAACGGTCGAAAAACAACAGCTTCAGCGCCGGCTGTGTGTCGGCGAATTTCAGTTGCAACTTTGACTTTCATAGCTGGATTTCCCCAGACAGATTTCGATACAAAGCTAGTTAATTATTTGGGCGTGGCCCAAATAGAGTAATGGAAACGGCTTGTTTTGACGCAAATGTGCAATAGGCACGCAATACGTGCTAACGTAAACAAGGCAAGTAAACAAGCGAAGCTAGGCGAATGTCTGTCATGCGAACGTCTTGTACAAGGTACGAGGCATGTCGGAAAGAAAGCTCTGCTTGCACATGGCACTTAATCGCACTTTTACGATCTCTAAAGTTAATCTGAATCTTCAGTATTTTTGCCTCATCGAAATTTGGAAGTCTGAAGTCCAGGGATGAAATCTATCAAAAATATTTGGAATATTAACGTCGGGTTTTGGTCACAATGACATCGCAAGCAACGAACTTTGAAACGCAGAAACACAAAAAACGGATCGAAATCCACCAATCACAAATCATAAACAATGACCTTTTGAACCCGCTGAAGAAAACTTTCGTTTCCTAAGAGGTCCGCTAAGATGATTGACGTCTGACATTTTTTTAACGAGAGGATCGAAATGCACCAATCATGGAAAGACAGTTTTAATTGCATGTTTCCTAAGAGGTCATCTGAATTTGCTGTTTTCTTTATTTTATGTCCATTTTTTGTGATTGGTCGATTTTGTTAGGTCGAGTGGATGATCCAATGAGGGACGATTTGGATATCGTTTGATCCGAAATTTTTCGAAGCAGCAGTGAGAAGCAGTTTGGGTAAGATTTGGCTGCGGCGTTTCGGGGAACGTGTTAATATATTGTTCAATTATGTTATCCCGGGTTAAATGCACACACTGTTCGCGGTAGGCCCACACTATAAAAATAACACTGAGTGTTTTCGGAATGGGCTGGTCCGCGAACTCAAAGAAAAACAAAGGAAATGATCAAGACATTCAATGACATGAAAGACTCATGGACCCCACAGACGTAATAACAAATCGGAATGTCGGGAGTGTACGTGTAAAATGGATATGAGTTTTAACAGAGGAATGTTTAACAAGTTTGAGAGTCGCAAGGTTTGTGTAGCTGGTTATCACTGTGACAATAGTGATTTTGATTTATGCATTACGGAGCACAACGAGTTGCCCGTGATAAAAATCTGTTCCGATGAACGGGAAGAGACGATTGTCAACAATTGAAACCAAAACGGACTGAGGCTTCTTTTGGAACTACTGTGATAACTGCAACAATTCTTTTTATTAATTCAATTTTGTTTAGCAGGGTGACAGTTAATGTACTTGTTTTTGTATTGCGTGTTGTGTTTTTTCATACGATGCTGTGCGTCGGGATTTTGCTTTATCAGCAAGTTTTGTGTTAGTGTTTTGATGGCAGCGAGGTGACGACAAGAGAAGCTAATGAGCTAGTTGTACAGAAGGAAAATTGTGTTGTGGAGGAAATAAAAGAAGTTGATCTCGTCGTGGGAAATTTATTTATAACAGAACTTACAATTTCATTGGTTCAAACCAGGTTAGTCCATTATATTTTCGGCATGACAAGTTACCATAAAATCGAGATTGTAATTCGAAACTCGCGTTGTTTTCAAAATTTGCATAAATCGGCCGCTGCAAAGAAATATTTAGGTTACATGTGCTTCGAAATCCCGGGGGAGGCACTTGGGTATTTTTTGGGTGGGTATGTGCCGCCCGGGACTCCAAATTGGCACCCCATTCTAAAAAAAATTTCCCTAAAATTGATACCCCGTTCTAGAAATGGGCCAATTTTTTATAACCCGTTCTAGTATTCGCCCTAAAACTTATACCCCGTTCTAGAAATGGGCCGGTTTTTTATACTCCGTTCTAGAAAGTTTGTAAATTCAAATAGCCCTGTTTTTTTAAAAAGATATTTCTTTATTTGTTCGACTTATACATCAAATAAATGCTTCTTCATAATCAGTAACAATTTTAAGCAGAAGATAAAGCCGTGATCCACAATTTTTTATACCCCGTTCTAGAAAACGCCTCTGAAATGGATACCCCGTTCTAAATCAGGAGCTTCAAAATCACGACCCCGTTGGGCGGTATGGGTAATGTATGGGAGTACCCCGGTTCGAAATACTGTACCTTCAGAGCGGCATATCTTTTACTTGTTGTGCTATATCTTTCAAAACTATCGATCGATTTTAGCTCAAAACTCTCAAAGCAGCGGTTTAAATGTTAAAGCCCGTGGCTGGTTGAAATCGTCTCTTGTTTGTTTTCAAACGATTTAGGATGGATCGAACCGACTTTGGATCGATTATTATTTTATCAGCTTGTGGTATGAACGAAACCTTTTCCTTCTCGATAAAGTTCACTCAACGAATTTAGAAAGATTTACTTGACTTTTCATATGTGGAACGAACTGACTTTTTTGTGGAACGAACTGACTATTTTACGGAACGATCTGACTATTGATTGGAACGATCTGACTTGGAATTAACGATGTCAACGATCTGACCATGGAACAAAATGACCGGTTACCGTCATGCCACTAGCAGACTACCAATGAACAAATTAAAATCTTTGTTACAGAAAACACGGAAAGTGACACTTTTTGTATGGAAGAGTATTCGGAAAAATACACCACTGTCGTCTGAAATTCATCGTTACGTTAAAAGTAGAAAAGGTTTACACTTTAACAGGTACAGAAGTAACAGTAACAGTGTGAGGTTTTTAATTAAGGGACAACTACAAAACTAGTTCGTAAACGAGGGAAGGTGTATCTGTCGTCCAAGCAGCAGAGCACAGGCGATTTAGGTGGAATGAGATATCCAAATAGGCTTCTAAGTAAGAATTTGCCCCTCTGTACATGTAATTATCCATTTTATAGTGCTTAAAACAGTTTGAATCACCGGGTTAATTTTGGCCAATTTCCAAGCTTTGTATTGATATAGAAAAGAATCCAGGGCCATCGGTTTATGTAGATGCTACAAAAACAATTAATACTCCATACTGTCAAGGAAATGTTACAGAATTTGGGGAAAATGGTGGACAACGATGTGTCGCAACGAGTCTGTGCGCTTTAATTTACAGTAAGATAACAAAGATGACTTCAGTTGATGATATGACTCAAATAATGATTGTTGGTATTCAATTATATTCTTATCTGTCACTGCTTGCAAGACAATCTATGTCAATGTTAACAGAATTGCCAGGAATGGTTACAGTGTTTGAGCAATTTTTCCACCTTGAATACAGTGACAGTTATACTTGTAACATACATCACCACAGTATATGCCACTCACAGGTTACAGTATTTCAAACACTCTTGGCACTGAACTACAACTCATTCATTTTAACGGTGGCAATTATTGGTGTTGGTATCTACAGCACTAAGGCTGGGGTATATAATGTATTTGATTCTCATGCTAGAGATATGTATCATAACAGTCATAGTGAAGGGACATGTGTATTGTTGGAAATACCATCAATGCATAAATTAGTACAATATTTTCAGACTCTGCATAGGAATGAGGATATATATGAACTTAAAGGTGTACATATTGCCGCCTTTGAACCTCATCTTTTCTCAAGCAATGTTGAAAATTGTAGTATATCAAATGTTAATAGTTACCAATGTTCCTGTAAACACTGCTGCCCTATAGCAGTTTATGCAATGTGTTACTGTCTTATTATTCCTTGTGGATACTGGACTTAAGGAACTTTATTTGCCCTTGTTAGTAACCGGAATACACCATGCAAAGTTATGGGTGTGAAAACACATCTGTCAGTATCAGTGGAGCTGAGATAAACCTTACTCTCCGGGCTGTAAACACTGATGTCCTATGTTGCAATTTGGCTCCAAGCATGTCTGCATTGAAGATGTGTATATTTTCAAACACTGTCGTGAAATGACACTATTTTTGTTGTGGATTGGGACATACTGTATTAGTTGTGTGGTTCAGCAAACAAGTGGAGTAAAGGATTTGTCTTCTCTGGTAAGAAATGATGACAGTTCTTTAGCTGCAATAAGGCACGTTCAAAGTATCATACCCGTAGTACGACCACGCCCAAATATACGCTCACACAGCGTCTTGTTTCTTTTAAAAATAGTGTTACTTGTTGTTTTAAAGGAATTACAGTCAAATTTTCTCATTTCAACTTTACGTTTATTTCAAAAATTGTCACATAAATAAGTATGTGTAATCAAATGGTGACGAGTGAAATTAGGGAATAATTTCACGCGCGTTTTGTCCAAATCCTTATAATTTCCCGAGCCTTCGAGGGAAATTATAAGGATTTGAACAAAAGGCGCGTGAAATTGTTCCCTAATTTCACGAGTATACCATTTGATTACCTATTAATATCATGGGTGACGAATTACTTTAGCAATCGAGGATTTTTGACTTGTTTATCCTGGATCGATCGATCGTGAACTCCACTCTCTCAAACGTTTAGAGCTGAAATTTGGCTTAAGTTTTCAGAATTTTTCGACAACATAACTCTAAGAATCCTTCTTGATGTGCTCTTTCGTGTGTTCAGGTTTTCTAAAGCGTCTTTTTATGCCCTGACATCTTCATTCATGACATTTTAAAACTTCGTCGCCATCTTGAAACGTACGGCAGGTTGCCATGGCAATTTAGTAATTTAACATGTGAAATTACAAATTAACGCTGAAATTTCGCGCCAAAATTAAGGAGTAATTCGTCACCTATGATGTTAGCTTGATAATTGTTTCATTCATTTAGTTTTAGCGTTTTTTTAGAGTCTTTTTAGTTGGTGTTTATAGTTGCAGCTATAGTTTTCCCTCAAAGTTTTTACCAGAATAACAACGAAAAACGTTTTGCAATTTACCTGAAGACGGAGAACAGTTGATTCAGCGAAAGAAAAACTCAAAGGCAAGTTTTTGAAAAACATAGAACATGATTTGTTTACGCGCGGGTAGATGGCAGCATACATGAACTCGCACCGATGACTCAACCGAAGGCAAATGGAAAAAAATGTTTTTCTCTTTCGATTATGTTATAAAAGAAATGGTAAACCTTGCAGCTGTGCAACCATGGAGTTATGGATGCACTTGGGAGGTTTCCTAAACACTCAAGAAGCTAGAGTCGCACTCGGCTATCGCCTCGTGCGACTCTTACCCTTCTTTCGTGCTTAGCAACCTCCCGCGTGCATCCATAACTCCATTGTTGCACGCTGCACGTTTACCATTTCTTAATTGTAATTCTTTCTCTGTCTCAAATACACAGGATAAAAATTGACTTTTTAATACCTCCCTAAAGAGGTCAGTGCCATAATATGGGCGATCACCAACAAAAAAAATGGTCACTGGAACTGGTCATTTTGAGACTGAAACAGGTAAGAAATTGAAAACAGTAAGCGCCCTCAGTTACATGACTAAGCACTGTCAAGGAGTAACCGACTGGACCAGATCCTTGAATGATTTAGTCTACAAACAACTCTGTCATTTCAGAAAATATTCAGTCTATGCTTTAAATATATCGTCCCACTTGGAGAGAGGGATGCGACGCTTTTTATCAGTGTATCCAAAGGCTGCGTTATTTTCATACTCCTTAATAAATAACTTTGTTTTTAGCTTTATTACAAAGCTACTAACCGTAGTAAAATTATCCCTGTTCATAATGTCCACTTACCCCATGAAACACTCGTGTATCCTCCAAAAATATACCTTCCGACCCTTATTATTGTTACAGTTGGGCCCTTGCCATCACATCGCGAGTGAAATGTACTTGCAGCCCAGCCGTCCACGGTTGCACGCCAACAGCGCTTCCAGGCGGAATTCACGCTTTGTGCTACAGGGGACAGCCAGCCTCTTAAAATCCTCGAGTAATTTCTGCTGTTTCCCACTATTGCAGAGTCTAAAACTGAACAAATATCGAGCAGCATTAAAATCAATGACGTGATCAGAACAAAAGTATGGATGAAAAAAACCTTTCTTTGAGACTAAAACTGAGCTCTGATGAATAATGTGAACATTAAGCATATTGACTTTTCAACGGTATTAAAACGCAAGAAGGTAGGAATGGCTCGGCAGCAGGCCCATGTGAAAATTTTTTATAGCTGAAACTTGCTTGGTTATTGTTTACAAAACGTTTCCGAAAATCCGGGTGGAAAGTAAATGGAGCACGACTTTTTTTGGTCACGGTTGTTTCAGCGGAAGATTTCCGGGAGCAGCGTAACATCAAAAAAAAAAAATCAGACCCACTTTGTTTACTAATATCGGGCTTAGGCCCGTTTCAAACGTCGTGTTACTGCAGTGCCGAACTAAATTGATCGAATTAAATTCGACTTTAGCACGGCAGACTAGCGCGACCTTTGAAACCAAGTCGTGCTACTGCCGTGTAGCAGGGCAAGCTTTGCTGTGCTACACGGCAGTAGCTCGACTTGGTTTCAAACGTTGTGCTACCGCCGTGCCGAACTCAATTCATAAACTATAAATACATAAGAATACATTTAAAAGTTTTCTATACCGTTTCTTTATTTTTGTGTTTTGTTTTCGGCAGCAGCCGTTCTATTCGACTGAATTAAACTCGACGTCTGAAACAGAGTCGTGCTAGTGTCGTGCTGCAGTCGAGCGTCAGTCGAGCCAGCTTAACACGGCAGTAGCACGACGTTTGAAACAGGTCTTACGCTCCTACATGAAAATGAACATCTAAGGTTCATTAACAGAACACGAGAACTTTTTGTGTTGAATATATAAAGCTTACCGGGTTTTCTTTGCACTACAACGTTGATTCTGGTCTTCTTTGTTCCCATCGCGTTCGTCGCGATGCAGTCGTACAAACCGCTGTCAGCAAGAATCAAGTTCTTAATGGTTAGTGTACCACTGTTTACTTTAGTTCTTCCACCTAGAAAAGGCATTCCAACTCTTCTCCAGCTTATAACGGGACGAGGGAATCCTTCAGATTGACAAACTGCTTCAAAGGTGCTGCGTTGCATTGGCGTGGCGGGTGAAGGTGGAACTTTTGTTAAGACTGGAAGACCTGACAGAGAAGAATACTGAAAATGATATGTATAACGAATAGAAAACTATTGCGAGCATCTGGACAACGAAGCTTTTATATTATTGCTGGTACAAATTATTGTAAGTGAGACAAAAATGAATAAAAAAACAAAACAAAACAAACAAATAAACAGAAGAAAAGGAAGAAAGAAAAAAGGAAAAAATGACCACCAAGTTTCAAACAAGGGTGTTACCCAGTGAACACCCGTTATAGACATAAATATATTCATCACTAAGCAGCTGAGTATGAAAAATCCTGAAGTTTCAATTATTCTCTGAGCTTACCTCGAACAGATAAATTACAAGTGGCCTCAGACGATCCAAGAATGTTCCTGGCGTGACATGTGTACTGCCCAGCATCGCTGTAGTTCAGATTCTTAACGATCAACTCTCCCTTTTTAATCAGATACTTTGCACCTGACAGAAGCTTTCTACCCTTGAATCGCCATTCGACGGCAGGGGGAGGATTTCCTCCAATTGTGCAATAAAAAGCCGTATTTGTTCCTTCATCTCGTGTCTGTTCTGGCGGCGACAACATTACTTGTGGAGCAGATATCGATTTTCCAGGTATTCCTGGTGGTCCCGGCATACCTTTGGGCCCAGGCTCTCCCTTGTCTCCCTTTTCTCCTTTCGGCCCTGCAGGACCCATCATTCCTGTTTTTCCGGATTTTCCAGGTGGTCCCATGGGACCTTGAGGCCCCCTTTTCCCCTTTGGTCCCCTCCTACCACGTGGCCCTTTTGCCCCAGTGGGACCAGGAAGTCCAGGGGGACCTGCGGGGCATACTTTCTCACTTGATGTACAGTACTTGAGGGGCATAAGTTGTTGAAACTGTTTTGTGATTTCTTTTCTCACGTCTTGTAATGTTATACTAGCTGAAGTTTCGTTTAAAACGTGTCTTCGGTTTCTTGGTAGGATAGTTGTAAATGCCATTTTTGACAACGATACAACTGCAGTAAGAAATGTTACATATAAATTATAATAACTGATTTGATTAATAAACAATAAATTTAACAAGGTTGTACGTATTAGGACGTTTCTTCGAAAGTTAAACCAAGTTATTAGGTCAGTTACTGACACCAGCATAGCGTAGGTGGAAATGACATGACCTTTTCTATAAATGGAACTGTTTACGGGAAAGAGACACCGGGTATAAAGCTTCGGTAAAACGGGCAACAAGAAAACGTACAACTTGTTTCGAAACATTGCTGCAACACGATTTTAAAAGCGATGTTGCGCGTTTTACCACCGACGTTTACAGTCAAACCAGGCCAAGCGTTCCCGTCGCTAACAAACTAATGAATTCATTAATGGAAAAATGATTTCGTTTGTTGATTCAATAATCCATTCATAAAATGAATAATCCAACAGTCAAATTGGACCTCGATTCAATAATCAAATGTTGATTTGGTTTATGAACAAAATCTACCTGTTCTTTATTCTTGTCTGTTGTGTTCAATCGTATTTGCTTCCTTTTCCTGCCGTTTACGATTGCGTTTTTCATTGCCTTTTAATAATCAAAATAACAGCTAGAATAGACAGACCGCAAACGCAAAGAAACTATGAGAAACTGACAAAGGCCGAGGATCGAAATCCACCAATCACCGCACATACACTGACCTTAGTTTGGCCGTTGTGTTTTCTAAGAGGTCAGGCCTAGGTCTGTTGCACTGATTACTGGCAGCAAACTGGCGTACATGTAACAGTTTGTTTGGGTTTGAACTTCAGAACTCGCCAGCACTCGACTCTCAGAAAAAAAAGAGGAAAAAACAAAATTCTGAGGTCAACTTGTGGAAAGTGTAGTTTTTCAAAAAACAGTAATCGAATCAACATTCGATTATGGAATCGAGGCTAAATATGAATATTGGATTGTTCATTTTATGAATGGATTATTGAATCAACAAACGAAATCATTTTTCCGTGAATGAATTCATTAGTTCGTTAGCGACGGGAACGCTTGACCTGGTCTGACTGTAATTCTGTCTTTTAACAAACCAAGGTTTCTTTAAGTTGCTTGAATAGTGGCCCTTGATTGGATAAAATTATCCGGAAGTGATGCCATACAAGGAGGTTACGTCATTTGCTTTAAAACAAGTTTGCCTCGCATGGGCCGGTAAAACGTGCAACAAGTACACTTTTTTTTGCCCCCAATGTTTTGGATAAAGATTGTCTTCAATTTCTCTTGGAACGACTGTAATACCCAGGAGAAATTAAAAGCCAGGGGGGGCAAACAAGGTGTACGTATTATGGGAGATGTGCCTACGACGAATTGAAGCAAAAGAAATAAGGGACGTACAAACGAGGTCAACAATCCTCTTTCTTCTTTTCCTTTTTCCTTTTTCTTTTTCTTTATTTTTTCATTCAGAATGTTCTTGTGGAAATTTGTGCGTTATCACTGCCCCTCTTACTGTCAATCCTGTTTTAGACAACAAGTTACTGTATTCAAGCAAGAGTAGGTCATTCTCTCTTGATTCAACTTGTGCGTATTGTTACCAGCCTATTGTTACTGGCCGGGGACAGGTGGGCGCTATTTTCCCATTGTAAAACTACAAGGCGAGACCAATATGGCGGACTCGCACAACAAAACAGACCTCGTGCGTTCTATTACCCATCATCATTCCTTAAGTTACAATTGTATCCTTAGGGGGGTGGGGTGGTCTTATTTCCTACTCGCTATTACACAGTCTCATTTTCCACTCAATACCGTGACAAGCCTCCCACGCAGACGCTCTTAGGCTAAGTTTTGGCCCACTTACAGGTCCTTACAGCACACTAACGTTTGAAGCTTCATCCTTTGCAGTCAATCATTCAATATTCCTATCTCACAATAACAACCCAAAAAGCTTCAAAGTAAATTATTTTCTGTTAGACCTAACCCGCGGTAGGCGTCTGAAAGGGAAGGAAAATTGGTAATTAAGACCCGCCAGAAAGCATTACGAACGCGTGAGAAATTTTTTGGTGCACCAAAACATTAACTCCAATGCTAGACAGTGATAAGGGGCCTTATGATCACAACACTGTCAAAAAGAAATGCGAAGTAATTCATTTTGTTCACGATGTACTGCCATGAAGAAAACTTGAAAAAGAAACTTTTCCTTGAAGATTGTCTGAACGAAGAGAGGAGAAACTATTGGTCTAAACGGCTAAGCAAGTTTAGAATACCCGGCCACTTGTTAGCCTGCGTGTCTTTCCTCAATCCTCGTCGCTATCTCGCTGGCATGCTAAGGACACTTTTTACCTGCTTGTCGGAATGCTTTTTTTT